ACCACTTACTATCAAAGTAAAACCAATGAATAGCAAAGTACATGATAAAAATGTTGCTGGGATCAGAAGAAAATAATAAACAAGCAAATAGGACCTTCACAAGGACCCTCACTACAGAAAAAATATTGCTTCAGGGCACTTGGATGAGTGACAAACCTGATCTGAAAGGGTGATGGACTGCAAGAGTAACAAATAATTCCAAGATGCTGATTCCCCCCCCCACTCAAAGAATCATTACTGGGGTGAGGGTCAAGTTGACAAACATCCTAATGTGTGCCAAATTTGCAACAGATACTGTATCAAGCACAGATTCTAATTCTGAGAAAAACTGCTAGTGTGAAACCAAAGAAGTTTTTTTCCATATATAAACTTGTAAAAAATTTGAAATACATATACAGGTATCCAGAAGAAAGGCTGGTTTGTGTTTTAAAGCATGAAGAGGTAAAGAAATCCTTTGTGATAAAACTAGAAGCGGGCAGAAGAAATGAGAAAAAAACTTCAGGTGATTATTTGGAACAGCAGTATGAGGATCAGTTGGGACATGGAAGAGCCTGGCTGGATATGTAGAACCGTGGCAGAGCTCCAGGAGAACCTCTTGGTGGGTATCAGAGTTTGGACTACAGGATTCTTTGCAGATTACAGGGTGACCACAGGGTCACGGATCTGGGTTGCAAGAAGCTTAATGAATTGGAGTAGTTGTAGATGGGAAAAGCATCCAGCTTGCCTCCTATTCCAGGAGAGATCGTGGAGCCAGATCTGGGTTCAGTTACACCCCAGTAGCACAAGCCCAACACAGGCTACCCCTCAAATGGGGAACGGCTCTGTCCCCCCACACTCCTGCCACAAAACAGCTCCACACAGGTACCCACCGCACTGGTAATCATCAGATTACTCTGATGGTTTTCTCTAGTGATTAATGGACTTACCTGTATTTCCTCACTTCTCCCTTTTCAAAAGGCAAGTGAATCCAGGTCCAGAATTAAACTGGGAAGATAACGCGGTTCTGGCAGAAATGAGAAGCAGCCACCTTATACAGGGGGTTTCTTTGGGGGTTTTTTTGGTGCTCCACAAGTTCCTGCTGCCAGAGTTACAACGGCAGTAGGATAATGCAGGAGCCAAGCACAACTATTATCCTACCAAAACTTTAAACTAATATTAATTCTTTCTTGATTTTTTAACAGGACTGTTCAAAATTCCCTGTCTGCTTGAACTAATGATTTCTTTTGAATTCATTTACATAGTCTGCTGGAGACTTGCAACTTGTAGGTTGGGGCTCAGAAAAATCTCAGTAAGAGGGTATGGAGATGTTCCTTGGTTTGCAGGAGCATCTGGAGCTACCTGCTGTGGAGTGCGACAGTTCTTCAGTACATTCAGGACTGGCCTGGGACTGCATGAATTGCTCGTCTGAAGTCAGCTTGGCAATCGGTATGTTTTAATCACACATCCCCAGACCTCACTGGCACTGGTTTTGCACTTCTGCATCCTCCCTTTCTTTATCTAAGGTGGTGGCCTCAGAAGCACATGGTCACAAGTGAGACGCCCCCCCTTTCAGTCTGGAAAACTCCGTCCCTGTTCTGATCTTGCTTTAATGGGAACATGGGAGGTATTTAAAAGAAGGATAGATGAGGTGCTTAGGGATATAGTTTAGTGGTGGGATGGCAGGGTTAGGTTAATGGTTGGACTCGATGATCTTAAAGGTCTTTTCCAACCAAAGCGATTCTATGATTCTATGATTTTCAGGCTCCTTCAATCTCATTTCCAAAACATCCAAATCCTCTGGCTTTGCCCAGCTGTCCTGTTGAGCCTTACAATTTTGTTTACTTGCTTAAAGCTCTTGACACTTACTCATCAACTAGCCGAGGTCTAGCAGTTCAACTTCTAGGAAAAGAAAACAAAACCTCAAGCTCACAGCAACGGGAATGAAAGCAGCTGCTAGCGCAGCCACACGGC